CTTACACGCGGAGTGCTAATCAGTACTCAGTTTTTTCCCTCTTACCTCACTTGAAGTTTTAAACACAACATTTCTGAATACTTGTAATATCAAAATATAACTCGTTATGTAAGTAAACAACTGAGGAAAGAAAAAAGTTTTACTTTGTTTTCCTTAATTTATTTGACCAGTTGCTGGTTGCAGGTTACTGGGTTAAAATCATTACTTAAGTACCTTACCAAGGCAAAATAATCATTTTAAAAAAGATATAAAACGTTTGCTCTTTTGCAGCCGTGGGTCCTGAATATGCAAGCTTTGATTCCAAAACTGTTGGCACAGAGTTTTGGAAATAAAAACAGAACGCAATACCTTGCAAATGTCATAAAACAACATTTTATTTGCAATAGAACACTGGGAACATCAATAACAAATGTTTAAACTGAGAAATCTACCTTTTTTAAAATAAAAAAATTACATTTTACAGTGTCCCAACTTTTTGACAATTGCAGTTGTGAATTGTGGAAAAAATATTCAACCTTTCTGAGTAAAAGCTTTAAACTTAGTTTTTGTTTGTTTTTTTTGTTTTGTGAAAAAGGTGTTAAAAGCTAATTTTCATGTTAATCTCATGGTTGTGCACTTTGTGTGCACATCAAATGTGCACACAAAGGTAATTATGTGTCAGCCTGACCGTCTGTGTTTCACATGAACACAAGGTTAAGACTCCAGATGTTCATAGCTCAGCCTTTGATGTCTGCTGGGCTCATATCTCTATTCTAGACAGAGTTTGAGACAAAAATTTAAGCTCCTTCTACTTATTTTAAAGCAGATGATCCTTCACCTGACTGCAACCTTTATGCAAAGTTAAATTCACTCTAGGGAGTAATCGGTGTCTGTCTGCGGAGGAACTTTTTGCAGACCCTAACTCCACATCTATATAACAGCCTAACTTTTTCCTCAATGTTGTGCTTTGTGCAGATAAAGTTTATGTTTGCATTGCAGCTGACAGATGCTTTCAGGGTCCTTAACCTGATTAATAACAGAATTGCCCTCAGACTGATTAATGAGCTGCTGAGATCAGAAGGATTGAACCGGGCAGCGGATCATTAATTCCATGTCCTGGAGTCACTCTGGTGCACGTCGATGTCCAGGGGCGTTTTCATTATGTCTCGGCCTGACGAGAGGTCGCAGAGGATAGCCGATGTGCAACCATGTCTGCTTTAATTACAGGGGTATTAGCTGGTGGGGAGATCCCTACAGCTTTGTGTCCGACATTCCCTCTGGGCCAAATGTCCAGGCAAATGTGACATTTTTTTTATATCAAGGGACATCCGGGTTTCATTGTGGCATCCAAGTGTGTGGCAGAAATACTTTCAGATATCAGACTATCACTGGTGACATAAAGGCAGAACAGCTTTAATAGAAAACCTCCCCAAAAAATTGTATTTATTTTGCATTTTTTGAGCCTTGATTGGCCTCCTCTTCAGACACTGAGCCATTTTGTGGCCTGCACCCTTTCTTGCCCAGCTTTCCTCCAGCCCATCATCCAGCAGGGCTCCAACTCCACTGGTCCATCTCCACCGATTAACCAACCTAACCTCACTTGTTTGCTCACTGCAGTCATTCTGGCAGTCAATGTATCCTCAGGCTAAGCCAAACAAGCTGATCAGCCAGCCACCTCTGTACACAGTACCCCCCACTAAGAGGCTAATGGCCGGGATGTATAATCCTTCTCAAAACAACCACAGAGATGCTAATTGTATCCCACTATAAATACTGGCCGACTCCTTGTCCTCTTTCTTCATTTACCTATGCTCGTCTAAACCTGGAACAGCCTACGCCCTTCACACCGGCTTCCCCGAAGCAATTTGCACAGATACCAGGAAAAACTCCGTTACATAAGACAGGCTCTAGATAATTGAGACAAGTGTCAATAAACCTGCAGCATCTGAAAAAAGGAGAGCGGCAGAGAGCGCGCGGGGCTTTACGCACGGATACAGCCTTTCATGCGTCTTTTGGCCACTTCTTCACTTCTTCTCTGAGCTGCTGCGAAGCAACAGGTCGAGATGTTCCCCCTGCCGATGTTCACACCGGACCAGGTAGCTCGGGTGTGCGAGAACCTGGAGGAGACCGGGGATATCGAGCGCCTCGGTCGGTTCCTCTGGTCCCTGCCAGCCGCCGTCCCTGGTTCCGCCGGGGAAGCGCTCAACCGACACGAGTCCATAATGCGAGCCAGAGCGCTGGTCGCGTTTCACGGAGGGAACTTCGAGGCTCTTTACCAAATCCTGCAGAGTCACCGTTTCACGCGCGAGTCTCACGCCAAGCTGCAAGACCTGTGGCTGGACGCGCATTACCGAGAGGCAGAGAGGCTCCGTGGGAGACCCCTGGGCCCGGTGGAGAAGTACCGCATCCGCAAGAAGTTCCCGCTGCCCCGCACCATCTGGGACGGCGAGCAGAAGACGCACTGCTTCAAGGTAGGGTTGTGGTTTCACTCTTTTGGTGACAGAGGGAAAACACGGACTCTGCAGTGCCATCAGAGGCTGCTACAACAAGCATAAACACTTCTGCAAACTACACATTAACTAATAAATCAGGGCTTTTTAACATGACTGTTGTATTCGTGCTGGCTGGTCTTTGAGCTGTTAAAATGATGACGGTCAGAGTCATGGGTTTCCCCTCAGATCAGAAATTTCTGAGACTTTCTTACTTTAAAAGAAAAACAAAGTTGAATAATTTCATTAGAGTTAAACTGTTTTTGTGCAGATATGACAAAACTAATCTACGCTTATCTGTATGATGCAGCTGCGTGTGTGTTTAAAAGGAAAGTTCCTCTGTGGATCTGTGTTAAAATTGTGGTTTCAGCAAAATTCCTCTTCTTGTTCTGTAGCCATGTTTAAGAGAACAGTTTCCAATGCACACCTTGCAGACTGCTGGTTTGCACAGCAAGACTTCTTCTGTTAGATTTATAAAACTTTTTTCTTGTGACACATTAACAATGCTTTCCAGATGTGCAGAGAAGCTCGACTCAAAAGAAAGAAAGAAAGAAAGAAAGAAAATGTTACATTTTGATGCCATGAGATTTGTTGCAGTTCCTCAGGAGGCAATTTGGCGACATTTTTGGCTTTTAAAGTGCAGTTTATAAATCACAAATCGGTAAAAGTATACAAAGTACAGCTTTAAATATACAAAATAGTATGTTTGGGGGAAGTAAAAATGCACTTTTCCTCTTGGAAGTGTGTGTCTGAAAGTGTGAGCACCCTCTAGTGGCAGGGTGGTGAAGTATCATTCAGAGTTAATCTTTAATTCCAACCCTCAGGAGGGGTAGCTTCTCCAGCAGCTTATTAAACCACTTAGCATGATCCAATTTAGTGGATAAACATTGTTATGTGTGCTTCTAATGTAGATTGTGTTTATCTATTTATAAATCCGGACTAATGTGATTATACCAGGTATCATAAGAGTGATTATTGCGGTTTAATAGGATGATATTAAAATAACACTAACCACTTTATTGTCGTCACCTTCGGTTGATCCGTCATATGAGACACGTAGAGTCTTTAATGATCCACATCATTTTAATTCTTACCCAGGAAAGAACTCGCAGTTTGCTACGAGAGTGGTATCTCCAAGATCCGTATCCTAATCCGTCCAGGAAACGCCACCTGGCCCAGGCCACCGGGCTCACACCTACGCAAGTCGGGAACTGGTTCAAGAACCGCCGGCAAAGAGACAGAGCTGCCTCAGCAAAGAACAGGTATCTCAGAAATTCCACATTTTATACAAGTTATGACTCAGAAAGAGAGAGAAACCCTGTTTAGTCAAGTTAAAGAGACTAATTAGGTGAAGTGGCTGTACTTGTCTGAAGATCAGCTCCGACACTCGCACTCTTAAAAACAAGACTTCTCACTCTTCTTCTCTTTTCTGTCCCCTGATGCAGGCTGCAGCAGGATCCTTCCCTCCTGCCCTCTGAAAGCTCTCCCAACGGCTCCCTCCAGGGACGCCATCATCACCCCCACCTGCTGCCCGCCTCCCCTCGCCACCCGGGCAGCCCCGAGGCCAGCGACTGCAGCACAGAACCCGAGCCCAGAGGAACCGGGGCCTCCACCCCGGAGATCTCCGTCAGCAGCGACAGCGAGTTTGAGTCTTGAGACGAGGGACTCTCTGTCGCAGACAGGCAGACTCTTACTACTGTCTGTGATCAGACCCAGACACACTTACAAAGACACTTGAACTTTCAGCGTGACTGCGGACACATTAGAGCTGTTCTCGGTGGGAGGAGGGTAAGATGAGACCACTTGTTGTGGATGTGAGTGGACAAAGTAAAGATATGCACTTAAAAAAAAGCACCATGGCACATGACTCTGACTGTTATGTATTAGTTTAATGTGACTCAGTGCTGTAAAAAGATAAACATCCAGTTGAGTTTCAAACTCTCAGGCGAAGTATTTGTAGAGATCATGCCTATGAGCTTTAGAAGAGATGTGAATATTAATATTTTAAGGTTGAATGCTATTTTGGTAGAGAAAATTTTCTCAGTTTTTATGGAAGCTACAAAAAGAAAAATGCCTTGTGCAGGCTGTTACTGTATGTCAGTATGTTAACACGCACATTGTTTCATTTGATTATCTTCAGATAAGAACCAAAATCAAACTGTGAAAATCCCCTAGAACTGGCAGAGACGTCCCCACACAGTGTTACAGTTTTATCACTCATGAAAAATTACATTCAAAAAATGCACAGCCGCCAGTGGTGGCACACTTAATGATGATAAAGGCAAATTTATTAAAATTAAAAACAGCCAGTAAATGTACAAAATCTGTCTTGCTGCGCTGCAGTTTGCATGTTAACATAGGGACGTACCAACTCAACACATTTCACTGCCTTAAAATGGAACTAAGGGCATCACTGTTTTGCAATGCAATAACAAGCAACGTGTTTAGAGAGACTGAACTGTAACTCATCACCCGTGCACACATGCTGCTTAAAATACAAACCATGTCATTGTGGGCTGTTTTACCTTCTTCGCTGATCGAAATCTGCTGGAAATGCTCCTGAGCTGCTCTGATGATGACGAATTCCTGCAGGAGCCGACGCAGAGGTGAAAGAGGAATCAGAGAGAATAAAACGCACTCGTCGGTCTTAACTCAATGTGCCTATTACATCTGAGAACAGTGAGACCTAATCAGGCATGAGACTGTCCTCATGACAACGACACACGCAAAGGCCTACTGTTTGCTGTCTTTCTTAACGACCATCATTTCTCATAAAGTATCGTTTCAATGATAAATGTGTATTTTGTAATGTTTTGTGTAAATAAATGAACCTATTTTTATCCAAAGCGATGCAGTCTCTTTTTAGCTATGATCAGTATGAATACACTGTTTGTCTTTCTTTAAATCACCTTCAATATCAAAAGGCTTGAGCTTTTTTCACCAAACAAAATCAGCATGAAGCCACAGATTTACTCAAGGCTTACAAAGAATCAGATATAGCCTGTTGAATACGCCTTTAAGTATCATATTAATATAAGGTGTAAAGATTTTGAGTTTTTTAAACTACTCTGCAGTGGGTTACAGTTACAATTGCAATACCAGGACTTATGTAGTTATGTTAATAATAACTTGAAGCAATCATTTTCTGTGTGACTTATCAGTCTCTCGCATCACTGTGGAGAAATTCTAGCCCACTCATCTTTACAACACTGCATCGGTTCAGTCATTTATGCACAGCTCTCTGTCTCACCACAGTATTTCAATCAGGTTGAGGTCTGGACTTTGGACCATTGCAGCCCTTTGATTCTTTTATTTTTTCAGACTATTTGTTGTAGATTTGCTTCTCTGTTTGACATCATTGTCCTGTTGCATGACACAGTTTCAGCCAAGCTTTAGCTGTTGGACAGATGACCTCACATTTGACTCTAGAATACTTTAATAAACAGAGGAATTTGACTCGGTGACTGCGACGTGTTCAGGTGCTGTGGCTGCAAAGCCTAAACCATCACCCCTCCATCACTGTGCATGAGGTGTTTGAGCTGATATGCTGTGTTTGGTTTCGATTTGTGGTGCCGTGCATCACAGCCAAACATCTGCACTTTGGTCTCATCTGATTTGTTCACATGCAATTTTGCAAACTTAACCTGTGCTGCCATGTTCTTTTTAGAGAAAAGAGATTTTCCAAACAGCCCATTCTTATCAAAAGTTTGTCTAATTGAACATTTAAAATGCTAACTGAGGCCTGCAGACTCTGAGATGTAGCTGTATAGGTCGTTTTAAAATAACTGTGAGCATTGTAGTGGCTTTTTGCTGGGAAGATAAAGGCATTATGTTACACACATGTATGCTGCAGCCCAACAAAATGCCAAAACTTCTGCTTTTAGAGAGGAGCTCACAAATGCTCTTGATCAATTAGTCAAATGCAATTGATCTGCAGCACGTGGCTGATACCAGCCCTCTAAATTCCCATGAAAGCAGTAAGGGGGTACTGTGAAAATGGTCTTTTTCACATGACAGTTTATACAGCCATCTGTGATAGATAGTTCTAGCTATCTCTTATAATCTATAAGAGTTAGCTAGATAGTACTAGCTAGATAGTACTAGCTAACTCTTATACTAACAGACACCATGCTAGCATACGTTTCTGAAGAGAAATGCACAATTCACAAATGTCTGCAGCTTCCATAAAAAATATATATGTTGAAATGTTGTTTGGAGAGACTTACCTGACTTACCAGGAACAAATGCTGTCTGTCTTTCACAAAAAAGACTTGCTCCTCTGTAGATGAGGTTGGTTCTCAAACTAAACAAAGATGGCGGCCGGAAATAGACGTTTTTTTTTTTTACCTTAAACCTATAAGAAGTTGAAAGTAGAAGCTTAGCAAGCTGCATGACGAGCAGAAAGGAGCCATGTCATTACAGGGATTACAAAACAAACAAAAAAAGGTAAAATATTAAAACAGGTTTCTTCTGGCACTCACCCATAATTTGGATTCACGCTAAATGTTGTGAAATTGCTGAAATTTGGGAAATTACAAATGATTTACTGTTTTTATCTTGTTATTAAAGATAACAACACAAATAGTCATTTAAACTATACCTTTTAATCATATGTTGCTCTGTAATTTCAGTTTAAAACTATGTCAGCACTGACAGAAAACATGCTGCTGCCATTCAAAAAGTTCTGCACCGTCAGGCTGTTATAGGTTAAAACTACTCAGATATTGGATGTGTAACTTTAAAAAAATGAACGAATGGTATATAGTACAACTTAATAAATATCAGACCTTCAACATATTGTATAGTATTATGTTACAAAGCAAGAAAAACAAACAAACAACAAACAGTTCTTTACCAACCTCGAAGTGAACATATACAGAAACGTTTCCTCAGCTGTGACTAAAGGACATTTAGAGGTAAGTGAAATGCAAAATGTGCAAAATGTCAGTCACATGTTTGTGTAAATTCCTCTTTTCTTATCTCATAACAACACACTGTAGAATAGTTCTTCTTCCTGCCTGACCACAAAAATGGGTGTTGTCACGCTCAGTAATCCCACCCACACCAGAAGGAGCAGCAAAACAGACCTGTCACTTTTTAGCCACTGCTACACTTATGTGCAATCTTAGGGCTGCACATAACACACAATCGGCTGTGTGTCAGTGAGGTTCCTGTGCAGACGGGTGGGGGTATTTTGATTTTTGCAATATTAATTAAGAATGGACAGCCAGGGGAGGAAAGTGGTGGTCAGTGACAATGGGACAGGGGTAAGTCAAGCACTCTGCAGTATATTACCACATAGTCAGATATCCTGTTAACAGTACTGGATGTTGTCTTTTATTTTTCTTTCCATTAGCATTTCGTTTTAGCATGAAAAATAATCATGTTAACTGCATGTCTTTTTAAGATATCTTGATGCAAAGTAACCTTTTGCATCGATGTCTATCTTATTTGTTTTATTGTCAATCATCTGGATCATTTAATGGCAAATATGTGAAGAAGTCCTGGGTGTGAGACAAAGTGCACTGCTGTGTGATTCCACATCTGTCTGGACTTGTCACTCCTGCCTTCAGTATGCGCACACCACCATAAATGGCTGTGGTGCTTTGAAGTGAGCAGACATTGGACAAAAACCAGGAAGAGAGACTTATCAGAGGAGATAAAATCACAGAAGTGGCACTCAGTGGTTGATTTCCGGAGGAAGATGCGCATTGACAGACTTTACCTGCTGCAACCAGAAACAGTCGTGTTTTTACCCCTGTTAGGAATGCATTGCATCCCTCCAGGCTAAGGAATGTGTGTCTGTGCCCACATGGACAAGTTAAGACAGTGTAGTAGGAGGAGTAGTTATGGCAGGTAGGAAAGCATGGGAAATTTGGTAAATCGATTGCTGTTTAAAGGCTATCTCTACATTATTGTAGGGTCTTTACCCTACAATAATATAGATATATAAATATCTATATATATATATATATAGAATATAGATATATATCTATATTCTATATATAATAATATAATATATATATATATAAATATATATAGTGTGTGTGTGCTTTCCAAATGAGTGCCAGTAAACATGATGAAATTTCTCTCGCCACTGTCTACTGTCTGTTAAATAAGAAACAATTTGTTAAATGCATTACAGTAATACACTCTAGGTCAGGTCCTTGGAGGCAGATTAATCCCAGCATCAGATTAAAAGGAACAAACCTGATTTATGAATGGAATTTTACCTGCACAAAAGGCTTTTAGTGCAAGAGTACAATTAATACGTTTAACCCTAATGCAGGAATACACAAACACAAACTGGCTCTCAGTTTCATTTTCACATCCCTGTGCAGTTTGTCAAGTGTGGTTTTGCCGGCTCCAACTTCCCGAAGCACATCTTCCCGGCCCTGGTGGGCCGGCCAATCATACGATCATCCGCCAGAGTGGGCAACATTGAGATAAAGGTAAGATTGATGTAAATGAAAGGACTACACATGGGTCTTTCAGTTAACCTAAAGTCAGAATAGAGGAGCATTGAAAAAAGATGAAATAAAGGGAAATGGGGAAATTACATCTACTGTGTGCAGAGTTCTATTAAAAGCAAACAGCATTAAAACCAGGTGAGTCATCCTGTTACAGTTTAGTGCTCTATTGAGAAACCTGGTGTCGAAGCATTACAGCATTCCCAAGAAGGATAAGGGGCCCTGCAACACTACAAAAACTACTACTAAGAACATATTAAATAGCCAAAACATAGACTACAACCACAATGGTCCCACCCAGTAACCCACAGGACTCTCAAGGTCCACGTCTAGAAAAGTCAGAGCTTTTCTGGCAGCAATACAGGGACCTGCACTATATTACTCGGGTGGTTTTAATGTTCGAGATGGCACAGTGGTGTCTGGAGCCTCTGAATGTGGAGTGTGTGTTACCCCAGTGCCAGATTGGTGGCATATCCAGGGTGTACCCTGTGTCCCACCATGTGACAACTAAGATAGGCTCCAGTGACCTTTGACTCGATAAATGAAAGAAATTGTATGGTTTTAATGCTGCAGCTGATTGGTGTAGCCATCTATAAGATCTAGATACACATCCTGAGACTTGATCATCTGTATCTCTGGTTCTCATCAACTTCCTGTGTCTCAGCTTAAAGCGTCTTAGAAGTGCACACCTGCTAGCTTCCTAAGATGCTGAGACTGTTGAGTTCATAGACTCATGTAACCTGAGATCATTCAGACCTTTTAACCTGATAATCCCTGCAGGACCGGAGCAGAGAAAGCATGAAAAGGTCATTGGTACAAATAAATAAGTAAACAAATTAAGGCAGGCTGTTGTGTAATAAACATCACATTTTCATAGATTTTTTATTTAGTGTTCACTTGAAACACCAGGTTTCCCAGGATAGCTGTCTTATATTTGTACTTGTGTATGGATGTGCATGTTTGTAACTTAATATTTTATACAGTATATTTAAAACGTTTCAACAGAAACAACAAAAATCAAACTGATGCTTTCTTTTTTATTATTATTTATTAAACCTATACTTTGCTGTAGGTCAGACAAAGAAGAGCAAAAACAAAACCATTAATATTTCCTGTCCCTGTCATCTTTTCCACCAGGACCTAATGGTGGGAGAAGAGGCCAGCGAGTGTCGCTCCATGCTAGAGATGTCCTACCCCATGGAGAATGGCATGGTGCGCTGCTGGGAGGACATGCTCCACCTGTGGGACTACACCTTTGGCTCAGAATGCCTGGACATCAACCCAAAAGAATGCAAGGTATGAACCCGTGTAAGACAGACAAAGACGGAAATGAATGGAAAAAAAAAAACTGTACAAGGACTAGATTATTATTGAGTTTGTGTATGTTTTCTATCCAAGATCCTACTGACTGAGCCGCCCATGAACCCGACCAAAAACCGCGAGAAAATCGCTGAAATCATGTTTGAGAAGTACCAGTTCTACGGCATCTACGTGGCCATCCAGGCCGTGCTCACTCTGTACGCTCAGGGTGAGAGGGCGCGACACACTGCACAAAAATAAAGGGTTTAAATCCTGACCTGCTGTTAACGGTGCAATTGACTGGATATTTGGTCAGTTTTAACTCCCGCTTTGTTAAATGACTCTGTCCACAGGTTTGCTTACCGGTGTTGTAGTTGACTCAGGAGACGGCGTCACCCACATCTGTCCAGTGTACGAGGGCTTCTCTTTGCCCCACCTTACACGCAGGCTGGACATCGCAGGACGTGATGTCACACGCTACCTCATTAAGGTGAGCTGGAAAGATCAGTGATCGGGCAAAGAGTTGGGTTTTTTTTAGTGTAAGGAAAGTATATGTACAGTTTCACAGCAAACATATGTGTGAAAAAAATGTTCTTCCCATCAGCTCCTGCTGCTTCGCGGCTACGCCTTCAACCACACTGCTGACTTTGAGACCGTGCGCATGCTGAAGGAGAAGCTCTGCTATGTGGCATACAACATTGAGCAAGAGCAGCATTTGGCCACAGAGACCACTTACCTGGTGGAGACATTCACGGTACGTTGGAGCAAGCTTTAATTTATTCTGCTTTCTAAAGTCGAGAAACGTCAGAAAAAATAACCGATTCCTCTCATTTGTGCAGCTTCCTGATGGCAGGCAGGTGAAGGTGGGCGGAGAACGATTCGGGGCTCCTGAAGCTCTTTTCCAGCCTCATCTCATCAACGTGGAGGGAGCTGGAGTAGCCGAGCTGCTGTTTAACACCATCCAGGCTGCAGACATTGACCTCAGGTCCAATCCTCCTTCCTCACTTTTCTCTAATTAATGAAGCTGAACTACTGCAAACACGCCTTGATCAGGTCCGTCTCTCGTCTGCTTTCCCATGCAGGGCCGACTTCTATAAGCACATTGTTCTGTCCGGGGGGACCACCATGTACCCGGGCCTCCCATCCAGGCTCGAGAGGGAGATCAAGCAGCTCTACCTGGAAAGAGTGCTCAAGGGAGACACTGAGAAACTATCAGTAAGAGCTTTCATATTAATGTCAGTAGAGAATGGATTCGATTAAGAGCCTGTAAGGCGTTCTTCAGTGCATTTGCATAAATATAATGTTACTGATGATCAGTGTCATCTGTATCATGAGCTGACGAAATGTTTATAGAATACATTTTCCAGTTATTTAATAAATGTCACCAGGCATTCATATAGATGCTCTGTTTTATTCACTGAACCTGAGGGCTACTTGCATGCAGGTTTTTCCACAGCAGGTCCAGTTTGGCTGTGATATTAACTCTCTGAATTTAAATATCTTTATGAGTTAAAAGTTTAGAAAAAGCTCAGTTTGAATTCCACATTTGACGCTCTGCAACATTTAAGGTTATGTTATCTCTTTTTCTTTGTATTAAAAATAAGTTTGGGCTATTTTATTACAAATACCAAAATGCATTTACTTTTTGTTGTTTTAAAGCCAAACCAATAAAGTGTGACATTTGTCATATTAATTAAATACATATCTAGAAATTGAAAGTTTATTTTGTTAACCTCATTACTGAGGTCGTTTCTCTTTTAGCAGTTTTCTTCGTAGCAGCACAGAATATAAAAAAAGGCTTAAAGGAAAGAATTGTTGTACTTATATATTAGGGCTCTGTGTTTTAATGACCTCTCCTGACTTTTCTCTTCACCCTTGCAGAAGTTCAAGATCCGAATCGAGGACCCTCCCAGGAGAAAACACATGGTGTTCATGGGCGGTGCTGTGCTGGCCAACATCATGAAAGACAAAGAATCCTTCTGGATGACTAGACAAGAATACCAGGAGAAAGGCCTGGGAGTGCTGCAGAAGCTGGGAGGTGGAGTCAGATAAAATAAAACTGAGTTAAACAGAATTTTAAAAACACAAATTAAAAATGAGGAAAATATGAACTAGGTTTTGTACTTTTAAATATTAACTCCGTACCTCTCACAGTCTCATCTCTATTCAAAACAGTTTTAACTGAGCAAAATTACAAGTTTTATCATTAAAAACACAATTTAGGTTTTTTCAGCTTCTACATACTGTTCTAAATATAACAGTTTTTTTGGACGGTGTAGGTGCTCGCTTATCCAGGTCATGTTCTTTGGACCGTTTGATGAAACTTTGATGACTAAAGTTTAAAAATTTCAGGAATTTATTTGTTGCATTAATAGCAAGTTTATGTTTTATTTAACCTTTTTAAAGCCAATAGATCTGTGCTTCAGTACTGTGCAAAAGTTTTGAGTCACCCCTCATTTTTTTATATGTTACTGAAAAAATGGGAAATAGATCCAGCAATGTATTGAAGCATGTGCAAATGTATATACAAACTCAGAAAAGGAGGCCAAAACAAAGTATTAAAGTTCTATAAGGCTTGAAAGTCAACATTTGGTGTGACCACCTTTATTCTTCAGCACAGTCTGAACATGCCAGTCACATGCCTCCCTGAAAGGAAGTCTTTGAAAAACCTTTGGAAAGGCTGGAGGACTATTGTTGAAGACCATTTAAAAAAATACAGAAAAAACTTAACATTTTATCTTAACTGAGACCTAATTTATTCTTGTGCAATACTCACGAGGCTATTATAACACAAAAACATGAATATTTGGATAAAAATGATTTAAATGTAAAGCCGAAATTAAATGATTTTGTTAAACTCTATTACTAATTCATTTTGGGACTCCACATTATGCCAACCAAACAGTAACCTGTTTGCTACTGTTTCTTAGAAATATTTGTCAGTAAAGTTTACTCGCTAAACTTGATTTAATCAAAAATTGATTACAGTCAAAGATCTTCCTCAAACACAAAACTTACCCAGTTTTTACTTTGGCTAGCTTGGCATCTAATCGCAGGGATCCTCTTTTCTTTACTCTGTTTATATGGTTGGTGGTGTTAGCTTATTGTTATTATCAAAAGTTTAACTTTTATTATTGGCTCATATAAACTATTAGTTTAGGTCTTTTGTGCTTTTTTCCCTGCACTTTAATCTTAGTTTTGGTTGATGTATATTATTATTCTTATTAGTGGCAGCCTCCCGAGGGTTCCTGGTTGTTCCTCCCGTTGTGTTTCCTTACTCCTGACTTGTTCAGTGTGTATGCGGGTCTGTGTAGGTCTCTGGGGCTATTTTTATCTGTTTAACTGTGAATGTTAGTATAGCTTCCAGTCTGCCCTCCCCAAAGCCCCGACTGTGACTGATTGTGTGTTACTCTCACCTGCATCTCGTTCCTCACCTGTTTGTCACTTCTCAGTGTATTTATAGTTTGGCCTTTGTTATAACACCTGTGTTTCCGCCCTTTGGTGCTGCTCATTTTGCCTCGGTCCCAGTTTGATTCCTGATTTGTTGCTCCTCCCGTTCTGAGACATTCTTCTTATTACCTTTAAAAATAAATGTTCAATGGACTGGCAAATACAGGCTGAACATTTGAATGTTTTGAGTGGAAAAAAAACCTGTAAAGAATTTATCTGTGGGTTTGTTTGTTTGTTTGTTTGTTTTTAATAAATGTCAAACAGAATTGTTTTTTATTGTACATATTCCTTGCTGTAAGCAATGAAAAATGATGCAAAATGTGACCTGTTACTTCTCTCATATATATAATATTGGGTACATACACTGTCTTAACTGGGTACACCAGTTCAGCTGCTCATTGCTGCAAGTAACTAATCAGCCAATCAAATAGCAGCAAGCTAATGCATTCAGCTATATAGACATGATGAAGACAACCTGCAAAACTTCAAACTGAGCATCAGAATGAGGAAGAAATGTGATTTAAGTGGCTTTGAATGTGTCATGGTTGTTTGTCTGAGTATTTCAGAAACTTGTGATTTATTAGGATTTTCCCACAAAAACATCTCTGTGGTTTAAAGAGTACAGTCTGAAAAAAAAAGGAAAATATCCGGTGAGCAGCAGATCTCTGCGTAAAAATGTCTTGTTCAGGCCTGAAGTCAGAGAGGAATAGGCCAGATTGCTTAGTAAGTAAGTAAGTAAGGTATGCAGAAGCGCATCTCTGAATCCACAACACACTGGCCTTGGAAGCAGATGTGCTACATCAGCAGAAGGCCACACCGGGTGCCACTCCTGTCTGCTAAGAACATAAAACTGAGGCTACAATTCAAACTGGACAACAGATGATGAGAAATGTGTTACCTAGTCTGATGCGTATCAAGCTCTGCTCTGACTTTTGGAAAGGAGGGTCAGAATTTGGAACAAACGTGGATTCATTAATGTTTCAGGCTCGAGGTGCATTAATGTGGGGGAACATTTTGTTGGCACACTTTGGGCTCCTTAGTACAAACTAAGCATCATTTAAACCCCACAGCCTGATGTTGACCATGTCCATCCCTTTATGGCCACAGTGCAGCATCTCCTTATTGCTGCTACACACCATGTCCCAAAGCTCAGATGAAACCGGTTTCTTGAACATGACAATGGGTTCACTGAACTCAAATGACCTCCACAGCCACGAGATCTCAGGCCGACAGAGCACCTTTGGGATGTGGTGGAAGAGGAGATTCTCATCATGGATGCGCACCAACTGTGTGATGCTGTCATGTCAACATGGACCGACATTCCCGAGGAATCTGTGCCATGAAGTATTAAAGCAGCTCTGAAGGAAAACAGGGCTCCAACCTGGTACTAGTGACCAATGAGTGCAGATGTTAGTGCCTTTCATTTAAAAAATATAATTTAATATTTTTTTCCATGAGACCTTTTAAATAACATGATAATAAATCCAAAAGCAGGACTTGGCTTAATGGGTTAATTAATGGATTAATACATGAATTACTAAATAGTCAATGATAAGTCTCAACAATCAAAGTCAGTAAGAAATTGATGTGAAGGTGTGAAATGACAGTGTTAGTATTTGCTGCCATCTGGTGGTTAAATCTGCACCCGTCAACACTCCCAACCCCACTCCAGCACTTCACTCACCGTAACCACACGGCGAACGGATATTGCAATTTTTTTTTATTGCGATACTGAGTTACCTGACAAAATACAGTCATGTGTTTTTACACTGAAAAGAAATAGTGAGCTCTCACAATGAACACATGCTTCACGCACACATACACGCACACGCACACATACGCGCACGCCACATTCGCAGAACCTTCGCGTTAAAATGAAAAAAGCATGCAATAATGTTCAAAACACATCTCAAAACTGAACCTCCTCCCCTCCCCCGACTCGGCTGATCCAAAAACTCCAGAAATGTTGGAATGTCCACATGTTTAGGTTCGATATCTACCCAACAAATTCAACTATTCAAAGTTAGTTTTAAATACACACAATAATGATCATCGATAACGACACTGAGTCGAACAGTCAGTCGATAGTGATGACTTGCAGCAGGAAGTCACCAAGAGGCTGGCGACGTGCACATTTACATTCTACCAGTCGCCGCGAGGCTCCCGGTTTTATTGGTCAGACTGTCCTCTCAGTCCGCTTATAACAAAAAGAAAGAAAGAAAAACAGGCTCGGCCAACAGTAGAACTCAAAAGCGGTGAATCGAAACATGAAACGGATGCAGTTCTGAAAAGGAATAAACACTGAGAGAGATTTTAAATACATTCGCGAGTCATTCAGTAAAATCTGTTGTCCTGGTGTGTGGATGTGATGCGCTTCCGTCTTTTTTCTTCCCTCACTTGGTTTAAAAACAGAGAGAGATGATGCCTTTCTATCACTTCCCTCCTACTCGCCCATTACTCCACCTGCCAAAACCATTAAATAGAATACGCAAGCTGGGAGAAGAGCTTCTTCTTCTTCTTTGCTTTCCTTTTTTTTCTCTTCAGGAAGTAAAAATAAAATAGTCTTTGTGGGGGAGCCTAAAAATAAACAGCTGATTTAAAGCTTCCCTCATGATTTCTTTCAAAGCAAACAGCTGTTGTGTCACAAGATGGCCTTTCTTTTATCTTCTTTTTTCGTCCCTTTGGTATTGAGGTTTGGTCGTGGCTATCACACATCTCCCCTTTTTTGTCACTGGGGTGGGGGGAAGGGAGGGAGGAGGGCACAGAAAGCCTCGTACCCCCACCTTTTAACAGCATAGTTCCATCCAGCAATCAATCTGCAGACATTTACACATAAAAGGAGCAAAAAAAAACCCCAAAAAAAGTAATAAAATATCCAATTTTCACCCAGAACTATACAGTGGAAGGGTTACATCACCGCGGTGGACTATTTGCCTTCTTGCGGCGCGCGCTCGCAGGAAGTGATTAGTTTCCAGGCAACAGTAGTCTCACAGAATTCGTCTTTGGATTCGAGCCTCTTCACATGTTTTTTTTGTTTTGTTTTTAATGATGTAATCGCTTCGTGGTATAACTCTGGGTTCATGTTTCAAATAACAACCAAAATCCATTTATTACACATTTTCCATTGTCACAAGCAGCACACTCCTTTACACTAGCAGCCACACTGAGTGGTACATGGTACAACTTTTTGGCAACACTCCCCTACGTTGGTCCTGCTCTGTTCTGCACGTCGGTCCATTCAGGGAAGAGTTTACCATTTGTTTGTTTGTTTGTTTGTTTGTTTTAAAGCTCTGCTCCTGGTCTGGAGAAGGGCTGCAGTTTGTCACGAAAAAGTCCCGACCCACGACGAGACACAACACACCGTCGGAGAGAGAAAAGAGACAGAACAAGAGAGAGAAAGAGAGAGAGAAAGCAAGAGCCACCATCCATCTCCTCCTCCTCCTTCCTTTCCTTCCTTCCTTCCTTCCTCCTCCTTCCTCCTCTATGCCTCCCACTCACTCCTCACACACCGACTCGCTCAGGTCCACGGCGCCACCCCTGGTGAGCCGCCGCATCTTGCTGAAGTCGTGGTCGGTCCTCAGGTAGGAGAGCGAGGGGCCTCCCTCGCTGTGGCTGGCCAGGTCCTGGGGCTGGGCCTGGGGCGGCAGGGCCCTCATCTCACCGCCGCTGCGCCAGTACAGGGTGTATTGCTGCGGGTCGGACACTCCGAAGGTGGCGGCACACAGCTGCGCCAGGGCCTGGCTCGTCTCCCCGGCTCTCCACTGCAACGTCCGCACGGCGCTCCGCTCCCCGTCCTGGAACAGTATCCGAACGCACCTCTGGAGGCAGCGAGGGAGGGAGGAAGAGAGAAAGAGAGGGAGAGAGAGAAAAGGAGTGAATATATATACTGTATTTATGCAAAACACAGGTCAAGAGGCTTATGGAGTGAGGGCAAACGAGGGGGAGGAGAGAGATGGAGTCAGAGGAGGAGTGAGGACTGTATAAGCACGGGCTGATACGCTGCCACAATAAATGAGCCAAAAAAAAATAAAAAATCAGAAAAAGGACGTTCATGAAAGAAAAATGCCTCTTAAACAAAGCTCCTGCTTCCCACACACAGCCGGCAGGTCCGAGAGCTTCACGCGAAAGCCATCTTCATGAAACTGCTCTGTTTTCCCCTGCTCTGCTTCATGTTACAGCTTCACTGACAAACTCCCGGCATAAATCCACTCGAGCGAGTCCACTTCCAAACTCAAATATCATCCATTAAACTCGCTCTGCTCTGGTGCTCTGCTGAAGTCCCCCCCCTCTCCTCCACCACCGCCACCACTCAGCAGACACAAACTTTTTTCACATTTTCCACAGAGCAAAAAGCGAGCAAACCCAAAACTAACAGGTCTATCGCAACAATCGCTGCTCTTCAGGCACTTGAGCCATTACATAATGTCAGATTCGACCACCTACAGACGCCCTCACAACTCTCTGTAAAGCACACACACACACACACACACACACACACACATTGTGAAAACATGCGGGACATAATCCTTTTTACCAAACATCCAACCTTGAGAAACCAGGGAGAATCCTCTTCCCTGTCGCTCACGGAAACACACAAACAGACAAACCATCCAGCCTGCCTCCCTCAACACACACACCACAGACGAATAAGTGGCTTTTAAAAGAAGCAGAAAAAAAGAAAGAAAAAGCAGTCAGTAGCAAATATAATCAACAGGTCAGCCATTATCAGAACTTACAGAGTCACTGAGCTCCTCGCTGTCCGTGTGCATATTGTGTTTGCCTGCTTCGATGGGTAGATGCAGCTCAATAAATTTCATGTTATCTGACCGCCCACTTCTTCATAGCACTTGGCTCACTGATCCCCGCCTGTGTCAGTGGAAAATCTGGCTGCCGGGTGAGTTAGATCGGCTATTTGAAGCCAGGAGAGGAACCACGTGACGAGACAGAAACGTTGTGGATGACAATGCCTGTTTTCCATGGCATCTGGTGGACCGTTACACAAACGTGGGGCCAGCAGGATGATAATAGGAGAGTGTAGGTAAAAAGTCAGCGTGCGTGTGTGTTAGTGTGTGTGTGAGCGCGCATTAATGCACGACCGGTCGTAAGCCGGCAGCCCCAGATCAGAGGATTACCTCTAAAAATGTCTAAAAACTAATCCCCCCAAATGAATTTGAAACGTGTTTGCACTCAGAAAACCAAAACAGGGAAATCCAGGTGTGCTCTTTCACCTCTGATTTAAAAACCGGCTTTCCAAAAACTCCAGCTCTGTCCCCGACTTCATCAAGAAGCTTCAGCGGTGATGCCCGAAATCAACTTTGAGTCAAATGTGGATCACTGCTCCTTTTTTTTCTACCCCACCTGCCAGAGTCACAGATAGAGGACAGTGTGATGTTGCTCAACACTGTGTTGCCATCAGTGTAATTAATGTGCTGTAATATCTGACCTCTTTGGATGGATTAGCACCTCTTTTTCGATGTCGCTTGCTTCTTTCGTGCAATTTTTATGTGCCAAAGCGCACTGTGACAGTTCTAAGCAGATGCTGGCCGCTCCAAGCTGCAAAGACCACACGTTTGATACGAGAGAGACTTTGATTGTTCTGCCAGAAGAAAAGAGATTTTAACTGGTGCCATCAAGCGATGATTTGCTTTGTTATTCCCTGACAGTCAAAGACGAAGCCAGGGTAGCCTGCTTCTGAGTGCAGCTTTGTGTTTAATCCATAAACGTGCAGAAAATGGTTAAAGCTATACTGCTGTCCAACACCAGCACTAGTCAAAGCAGCATGCAGAAGCTTTGCAGCTGCATGGAAACACTTGTCTTGGCCCTTGTATGAGGTAAGCTAGAGTGGATCCAGAAAGTATTCACATTTACTAAACAAGCTATTTCTAGTAACTCTGTAATTATGCTGAAACTGCCAAACTGATAAATCAAACACACAGTTTCTTGGTGAAGGGGTGAAATCAAAACCCCAAAGTAGACTCCTCTGCAAATAGAACAAAACCTGCAGATTGAGAACATCTGAGTAAAAGATGTTCTGGTCTGATAGGCGGCATGGTGGAGTGGTGATTAGCACTGTTGCCTCACTGGGTTCGACCCCACCTGTGTGGCGTTTGCATGTTCTCTCCGGGTACTCTGGCTTCCTCCCACAGTCCAAAGAGATGCAGTTAGTGGGGTTAACGTAACTGATGATTCTAAGTTGCCCATAGTTGTGAATGTGAATAGCTGTCTGTCTCTCTGTGTTAGCCCTGCAGTCCGAGCATCCTGAACTGGAACCTTGATGGATAGATATTCTGTTCTGATGAGCCTTATAACCCCAAAAAACATTTAGAGAAAAAGATTGGGACAGGAGATAGTTGTCCTGCGATGTCTTCTTAAACCTGGAAATAGCAGCAGGACTGAGCGTGCAGGATGCAGGACATAAAATGTCCACATCCTTGCTGCGAATTAGACTTCAAGCAGCTCCTACAATTACTTCCTCTTTCTTACAATCTAAGACGTGCTGGTGAGCGCGCAGGGGATAGACTGTTTAATACCCAAGTCTGATGCTTTGCTTCTTACACTGTGCAGCTGTAGCTCAGGTGTTACAGCAGGTCCAATCAGAAGGTCAATGGGTTAATCTCTGACTGCTCCAGGCCACATGTCTAAGTATCCTTGGTTAAGATACCAAACCCCGTGCTGACACCCCTAAAACCCCCTTGAATCCATCCGTTGGAGTGTCAGCGTGTGTGAAATGGTGGATGTCCAGGAAACGCCAGGCACTGCTTGGTAATAGCATCAAGCTGAGGGAAAGGCAGACTGATCAGAGCAGAGAGACGGAGATAAACCACCTGACAAACAGGCGACGGTTCACCTTTTTAGCATGACAGTGACTTGAAGCTAATAACCAAACAGCCACTCTGGAGTGGCCTCAAAGCAGCTCTCTGCCTGTCCCTAAGTGACCCCATCAAATCCCAGACTTAAACGCCACAAAACATCAGTCGAGAGGTCTGAATAGGCGCCTTGCATCCCATCAGGCTGAGAGAATCTGCCAAGAAGTATAGAATAAAATAAAAGCTTATTTTGGCTGCTCCCTAATTCCCAACAGGGTGCCACAGCAGGGTAGCTCTGCGTGTTTAATTTGGCACATTTTCTTTATGCCAGATGCCCTTACTGATTCAACCTCAAAGGGATTTGCATCTCCTCCTGGGATCAAACCAGAGATCTTCTGCTTGTTGGGCAAACGTGCAAACCACTACATTATGGAAACAGTCCAAGAAAAATGGAATAAAAGCCACACTTTTACAGGCTTGACCAGAGTTATCCAAGAAAGCTGAAAACTGTAAGGAGATTTCTGCAAAGCTACTGATTAGCATTAGTTTCTTTATCCATATTATCAGTTTAATCCAATTCCCTGCGTTGGTAATAACCTTCATGTAGAAAAACAGATTAAAGAAAGAAAAAAATAAGACATCCGCCTCACATGTGTTTGTTTTTCTTTTGATCGTCATTCATCCACCTGTAAGATTTAGTTTCGTGTCTTTAAACCGTTTCTGCCGTTAAGTCGTCCACACGGGCCAGAATATCCCATTAGAGTTGTCTCACTGCATAATAAGCAGCTGTCCACACATAAATCACCATTTCACACAAGAGAGGTTTGTGTGAAGGCTGTATACTACATTACTCCACAACAAACCCACATGTAATGCTACTAGGGCTTGTGCACTGCTACAATCGAAGCAGGCGGCGCCTACTTGGCTCTGCTGATTCTCTTTCTGTCTCTGGGCCTCTCGGCTCCGTCTGCAGCTCCACTCTTTCAGCGCTTCTTGGACCTCTGGCGTCAGGCAGCCCGAGAACGGCTGCTCCTTGTCCAGGCTCTGGATCAGACGCAGGCTGGCGTACACGCTGGTCAGGTAGTAGCCACCTGTAGGCGAAAAAGGTGTAGGAGGGAAAAAGAGTGTAAAAACAGGACTAAATCTTGCATCACATAGTACTTCCTCCTACTCTGTCCTTAAAAAGATTGTCTTAAACTTCACTGCCATGTTCTGCTTTCAAGAGATTTTTCTTTTTTTGTTATTTACTTCCTAAATTCACTTCCTACACTCTTCCTGTGTAAGTCAGAGGTACGAATTAATAATAGAGGATAATAATATAATAATAATGTAGTAACAGCTACCAAAATACAAATAAGACAGAGTAGATTATGAACAGTCAGTGCAATTTTAAGACAAAAAGCGAGTAAAATGTGAATCATCAAACGCAGATTTGTGGTAATATTTGAAAATGTGTATTTTTGAAACCAGGAAAAAAAATTAACTAGCTGTCATAAACCTTCATAATATCTGTTACCTGTGTTCCTTCTTTCTGTCTTTTGTTAGTTTTTCATCTTTAACTTCCTGTTTTAGATTGAAAGGTTAGCTTTTTGTGTGTGTCTCTTCTGGTTTTAATTCCTGTTTGTCTTCCTTTCCCATTTTCACACTTGTGTCCTCTCTCCTGCATCCCTGACGATTTTTGATTATCAAATACATTCAAGTATCTACAAACGTTTTGCATCAGTGTTTTATTTCTACTAATCGAATTTATTCATTAAAGTCACTTTTCTTTATATGGGAATAGGTATGTAGTATTAGTAGAAGTCCAACAGCACAGTGTTCGTTAGAGTAATTTGCATTGCCACCATATAAACATAAAAACACATAAGAAAAGCTTCACACAACAAAAAAAACCACCAAATCATTTGTCAATGACCTTTTTAAAAACAGTTTAAGGTTGCACTTAAAAATATTCCAGTCTGGATACAATTTGATTTCTTCTTCCTCTTTCAGCTGCTTCCTTTACGAGATGCTGCGGTGGGTCATCTGCCTCCATCTCACCCTATCCTCCTCCGTCACACCAACACTCCTCATTCACTACACCCATGAATCTCCTCTGTGCTCTTCCTCTTCTCCTCCTGCCTGGCAGCTCCACCTTCAACATCCTTTGTCAAATATATCCACTCTTCCTCCTCTGCACATGTCCAAACCCTCTGACCCTTGTTTCTCTAACTTTCTCTCCAAACTGCTCAACCTGCGCCGTCGCTCTGATCTACTCATTTCATCTCCAGCTCGGTCTCCTGTCTTTTTGTCAGTACCACCGTCTCCAAAACATACATCACAGCAGATCTCACTCCCATTTTGTAAACCTTCACTCATGCTGCCATCCTTCTGTCATAAATCACCCCTGAGACTTGTCTCCATCCCCGCCACCCTACCGACACTCTCTTTTTTATCTCTCTCGTGCATTGTTTATTGCTTTGGATGGTTGACCCCCAAACTCAGAGGAATCAAAAGCACCTGAGAAGGTAATTTGGTCCTATTTGGCCTTTGGCCCCACTTTTGATTGTTATATCATCAAATGTTTATGTTGTCTGGCTATTACAGACGGTGATTAAAAATAACCTGACTCAGTTATGCACTGTGCTGTCCCAAAACAAAGACAGCAAATGTAACAAAACTATTGTGATAGCTGCTCCTGCACTGCACAGTAACAGAGGTTTAATGATGGCTGTTGTACCAAAGATATCCTGGGACGACCTGAGACAGTGTTGCGGTGCGACCGATGCCACAGTTTAGGACCTACCCTCTCCTCCGAGCCACGAGGGCTCCAGCAGCTCCATCATGTACTCCACCTCTATGAGGATGTGAGGCTTGTTACACTCCACGATCACATAAGACAACGACGGCAGGAAGTCGTCCCAGCTAACTTCCTGTCCTGCATATATATTAAGAGAAGGAAAGGAAAAGAAGAGGCTGTCATCGTTCTTTCTGACAGCTTGAAATGAACATTGTACCAAATAAACAAGTGTACAAAAGCAAGCAGGTTGTGCTGCTGCCCACACAGATACAGTTTGAAATATGAAGGTTTTGACAGTGAAGAATGGCTCTGCAGAGACGCCTGACCTTCATTTTTTTCGTCTTTCTTTCTTTTTTTTTTTTTACAGCCAGGATCACAAGCAGCAGCGACAAAGCCCTTTATCTGTAAACACTACAGAAAGTGAAAAGTCTCCAGTCTCAAACTTGATCTTTAACTAAAAACATCACAAATCCACATAAAACTCCAGCTGAAGTGACTCCATCTCTGGCTACCCGTGTTTCTGTCTGTGCAGCATCCAGCAGTCTCACCGTGTAAGGACCCCATGGCCTTGTGCACACACTTGCACACTTGGAGCAGCAGCAGCACCTTGTCGATGGGCGAGTGGGTCCGCTGCATCAGGACCAGTTTCTGCTTCACCCTCTCCACCTCTCGGCTGTCTGGAACGCCCGTCCGAACACCGAGCCTTTCCATGGTGGCGTCCCCTTTCAGCCGGAGCAGGTTCTGGGTGAGACGCTGGGTGGAGCCGTCCTGATTGTGCAAAGCGACCAGGGCTTTCTCGAGGTGGGACCTCAGAGGCCTGAGCACACAGGAGAACATGGAGCGCTCCAACGCCAGGTCTGCGAAAAAGGGGAGGGGCTTGTTATTCGGGAAAACCAGCATTTATTCTGACAAACTGATGCACAAGGAAGGAAGAGAACTAATTTTTGTGTTTTGTGCAACTGGGAAATACTGACACAGAAAGGTCTGCAGCAACACTTTTCATAATGCATGAAATTCCTTTTAAATTAAGAAAAAGCAGAAGAAAAGCTTTTTTTCCAGTTTTTATTCTGTCCTGCATTTTGAGAAGCACCCATGGAAATTAAAACAAAGGTACGTCTCTAGAAGAGGATCTTGGGGCCGCACCTTCTTCCAAATGACGTAATCACCTTTTTGGGTGAGGAACAGTGTTGTTCCACTGTGCATCACTGTAAATATAACTATAAATATAACAACAACCACTCAAAATTCTTCAGGTAATTTTATATTTAAACAATAAAAATACAATTAAAAAATTGGCTCCCCCTCCTATATTGTGGTTTGGTCTTCTGCAGAGGCGTGTCTAGAAGGTGGGCATGGGTGGGCACCAGCCCACCCTCAAAATGTGATTCCCCCACCACCAAAGCAGCACCTTCAAACCAGAGGAATGTTAATCTTGTAGTTCCTGATACCACTGGATGAGAGCACAGATAGGACTAGTAGGAATGTAACTGAGTACATTTACTCAAGTACTTCACGTAGATTTAATGTACTTGTACTACATTTAAATATTTCCATGTATTCTATACTTGGAATGCAATTATTCCACTTCATACGCCATTTGTTTTAAAGCTTTCGTTACTTCTTATTTTGCAAATTAAAGAGATTCACACATCAGTAAATCAATAATTATAACCCCAAAACATCATTAGTACATTTACTTCAGGTACTTTACATATATTTGAACTATTAAGCTAGTTAAATAGGATTATAACTGTTACTTAGGTTAAACATCTAAATTCTTTTTTCCACTTTGCAAAACAACTATTCATCACAAGATTGTGTTTAAATTCTCATGCAGTTTCACTTTTCACACAATAAATCTGCAAAGGCAGGGCTGTATATGAGCTTTACATGTTATAATTTATTCAATTTAATATTTCTAGATAAATGCCAATGTCAGTTGTTTTCTATGGCACATTTAAAAGCAACAAGGTTAAAAGTAAATGTGCTTTGCACAACAAGCAAGATAAAACCACAGTTCGGTAAAATAAACTTTGCAAAGGTGAACTTAAAAGAAAGCATATTTGAGACACTGTTCTTTATGCTCACTAGTCAATAGAAGAACTTTTTTTACTTCACACCTGAGTCTTGTGCTTCAGTGCTGCCTCCCTGTACGGTATCAACACCCATGCTGCAGCGCAGTAACAATCCTGATGCTAATGGATTAATGAAATCAATTAAAATAATGACCTCATTAACCTTGCTGAAATTTTAACCAATTTTCAAGTGGTTCGTTTTAGTATTTGTTCCTGATTTCCCATGAGACCACACGGCTGGCTCTGCATCCCAGCCCACTGCCACTCCATTTACAAAATCCTGGAAATGTCTAAGTGGGGGGTGGGGGACCATTAGGGACCGTAACATTTTATCTACATTTATTTTAACGATTACTGCTCTCAAATACTCAGCCATCATCCAGTGACCTGCGATAAAGTGCACATAAAGTAAAATTACCTTCAGAAAACAGACAAATATATGAAAATACATAAAAAAATTCCAACAAATAACATTGGCTTGATTTTTTTTAATGATCTCGCCCACGCCGTGTCAAGTCCCATTGTCTGGTTTCAAATTAATATTTAGATTATTTATTTAGAACCTTCATTTAGAGGAAAATAATAATTCAGATAGCAATGGATCTGACAAAGTACGCTTAATGGAGCGATCCACAGAAACACAAATTACAGCCTTAAAAGGTTTAACTACTAACACACATTACTTACAGAGCGTACTGTACTTGACTGTGTGCTTTCTGTTTTGCCTCACATCATATAAAATCAGATGTGCTTTGGATTCGGGAGATTATTGCTGAGTGAAATGTTGTTCAAACTCTTCTGCTTCAGTGCAGAGTGAGTGTTTGTAGAAACAGCTCCTATTTTGCATGGTCACATTAACCTGAAAGCGACCCTCCCTGCAGTTCACCTCCCGGCACAGTTTTTCCATTAACCCTTTTCTCAGAGCACAAACCTTTGCAGAGACACAGGAATCGTTTCAAGGTAACACAAATCAAAGTGATCAGCAGTCCTCCTCTGGCTGCAGACTGAGACTGGGATTTGTGCCTGCTATTCTTAGTCAAGACATAGTTACAGCAGCACATAACTGCTCCAAGAAAAAAATGTCTAGACTGTCATTTCGATCATCTCTCATCGCTTTGGGCGTGTTAAAGCCTGGGAAGACTGAAGGTGGTGAGATACCGTGTAAAAAAGATAAAAAAAAAACAAACAAAAGGCGATCTACAACCTTCTGACAATTTATTGTGAACGCTTATTTCCATCATTGAAAGTTACAAATTATTAGCAGGTAGAGCTAAATCAAAAGAAATTGAGTTTTTATCTCAAAATTGAAACTTTAGATTTAGTCGAATTTTTGAGTCTTTTTAGTGGCAGAAACAAGTTTCCATAATTTATGGCAAACATCCTGGCAGTTTTGATTGCATAGTATCATTATAATTAATAATAATACCAGCTATAACAGTTTGAGCTCGTCTGGAAAGTCCACACGGTTTAGGAGTGTTTGTGGGAATTTTTAAACATTCTTCCAGAAGAACATTTGTGAGGTCAGACACTGATGTTGGACGAGAAGGCCTGGCTCTCAGTCTCCAATCTAATTCATCCCAAAGGTGTTTTTTGGGGCTGAGGTCAGGACTCTGTGCAAGTTCTGTCAAAGCACACTCATTCATTCATGTCTTTATGGACCTTGTTTTGTGTACTGGTGCAAAGTCATGTTGGAACAGGAAGGGGACATCCCCAAACTGCTGCCAAGGTTGGGAACATTTAACTGTTCAAAATGTTGGACATGTTGATGTGCTGAAGCATTACGAGTTCCTGTGCGACTGAACCTTTGCCTACTACTTCATGGCTCAGTTGCTGTCGTTCCCAATCGCTTCCACTTATAATACCACTAACAGCAGTGAGGAAATTTATTAACTGGACTGGTTGCACAGGTGACGTCCTATCACGGCTTGTAGAAGCAGTCTGCAGGCCTAGGTGTTCGATTTTAAACACCTGTGGTCATGGATTTAATTTGAACAATGATTTGGATGGGTGAATGAATACTTCTGGCAATACTGTGTATTCATTACATAAACTAGGGATCCCAGAAACTACAATAGTGGCTCTAACTAGCAGCAGGCATAAGCTATACTTTCTCATCTTTGTTAGTTTTTCTGGGAACTCCTTTGTATCTCCCAGCCAATTTTCCACCTCGCTTGCACAAACCTGGCTCCCTCCTCGCTCTAGTCTCGTCTGCTTACCCACAATTCTTAGAGAAGTGCTTCACAGATGTCACAGAACTGAAATAAGGGTAAACCTTAGCTTTCTGTTCAGCAGGTCCTCACTTACATTCCCCTAAAGATAAAACACGCTTTAAAACCTGCCTGCAATGAAGAAACAAGCATATTTCTGCAAATGTTAAACGACCCGTTTAAACCTCCCTGATCATGTAATTAGAAATGACATTTTCTCATCCTCTGAAAAGCTCAGGAGTGTGTGTTTTTTTCTTTTGGTTTTGTTTTTCATTTTGTTTTGGGGTGACAACAGTGAACTCGTGTACATGTAACGGTTCACATGCGAGCCTTCCCTTACACGTGTAAAAAACACACACTCGGTGGTTCTCCTGCAGTCAGTGGGCAGTCCTGACTAAGTGGGTAACAATTCTCCAGTGCACACTGTTTTTCCACTCATCATCAATATCCTCCACTCCCTCCTCTCCATGCTTCATGTTTCCCTGCTGCATAATCCTTGAACATCTCCCCCATCTACCTCACTATAGCACTCCCCCTTGTGATCAATCATTCCCACCCTCTAGTCTCTGTTTATCCACCTCCCTCTCTGCTCCATCTCTCTCTCTCTCTCACACACACACAGCTCTGGAGAGTAATAGATTACATGTAATGTGATTACAACCCAGGTACAGAAAAAAAGCTGACTTTTTCTTTTCTCTCTTTTTTTCCCTTTTATTTTTTGAGTTGTTACTCACAGTTCAGTAACTGATTACATTTTCAAAGTAACCTGCCTATTTCGATCTCTCCCTCCCACCCTCCTCTGAATCGTGCTGCTCTTCAAGTGAGCGTGGGACTGTGATATCTTTTTATGATAAACGAGGGGGAGAAAAAAAAATGCAAATGCCTCCCACCGACGCAAAGCGAGATAAATCAAAATCGCAGCGCAGGAAGGAAGGAAGGAAAGGGAGGACGGAAGGCAACGGCCGACCGCTCTCCCCTGAAGCCTCTGAAGCCAGGCAACCATCCGTCATCACACATTTACACACAAGCACACGCACCTGCGAGCGCAGACGCACACACGCGCAGACGCTCGGCCACACACAAAGCAGTCCAAACACGACCAAACCTACGCAGAGGAGCGTGTCAAAAGATCTAACTAGAATGCTTCCAGAGTAACACCCTGCGATGTCTTTACAATAATGAGACGAGTCCCGCTTTGAATGCGATGGATGTGAGTGCAGGCGCGTCGGGCCGGGCTTTCCTAATGCTATTTTCTAAATACCAGAGACAATATGAGCTCCACTGAATGAGACTCTACCCCCCCAACCGCCCCCCTACGCAAACTACTTTGTGTTGACAGTGCCTTTCACTGGAGCCCGAGCAGCCCACCATTTATCAGAAAAGGCTGTCTGTTTCCACAGACCTGCATCCTCTGGCACAGTGTCTATTGAATCACTGTTTTCTAATAGTACAGTTTGTTGGTTTTTTTGCTTTGTTTTACACATTTCTATCTCTCCTCGGTCCCTCGGTGCACTCACCATCGCCTCCTTTTTTAAATGTGATAAACCAATCAAGCATTCATATGAGAAAGGGTGGTGAGGATATTGTGCTCAGACTGTGATCCAGCACAGTCAGCTAAATTTGATCGAATCCTTCCCTCGGCGAAGCAAACTTACTTTGAGCTCCTCTGTGGCTCAAACTGAAAGATACTGAATGTCGTACAATCATGTTTAACTGTTTAGTTTTGCTTTGAGGTGGGTGTGAAGCGCTTTTGAAGATACATGCTAAGGAAGTGAAAGGATTGAACAGTCCTATCGGAGCGGGGCTGCCAGGGGGGAGGGGTGGGGAGGATCATCCACACCAATCAGATTATTGACAAAATGACCGCGCTATAGAAGCAGAGGACCAGCAGTGCAGTACCAACTACAGCACTGAAAAGACTCACAGTTGAATGGATAACACTGATCATCTCACTAAAAGGAAATTTAGCCTTTATATGGATGTTTTGTGAGTTTTTGAGGCCGTCTTCTAATCAGGGTGTGTGGCTTTATCTCCACATGGGGGATCATCATGTATGAAATCACAGCCAATCAGTTCTCTGGAAAATAGCATCACCGTTCCTGGAAGATCCTTCAGACCTCTGTTTGTGGACAGTTGGAGGGTCTAAAGTTTTTTAATAGAGCGTGAAGTCTCTGTGTTTCAGTAACTGATACAGATTCTTAGACTCTTTCTTTTAAAACTGACTACAATTTTTCATCAATTTTATTGCTCTATAAGCATCAAGATATGATTCTGAAATGGGAAACGGATGTATACTTGTGGACTTTATATCAAATTCATGCCGCATTTTTTCTTTACTTGCTCAGAGAACATTAAACCCCTTTGGAGCAGCAGGTGATAAAGTTGTGATATTGAGAAGTCTGTTAACCCACGCAGATGGGCTCTCCTTCGTGTCTTTAAATAGATTAAACTTTGTGAATATTGTCACTCTTTACTTACTTTTAATCCTAAACTACTGTACAGAGTTTGTCCTCTATCTCTCACACACACACACACATGGCTGATTTGTCTGTAGCAGCTGTGTCACTTTCAGCCCATATTGTGTGTGTAACCTCTTCATATGTTTTTTGTAATATTGTAGTTTTATCTTCCTTCGTAAAAATCCTCCACTCTGCTGCCTGCACTGTTATCCATGATTATGATCAGCAGGATGCTGCCAACACCAACCCGTTCCTGTGAACACACTTGTAGCTAGATTGATAAAGCCTGGTTTAACTCATTGAGCTGATAACGACCTTCGTGTGATTGCTTATCCTGATCGCCAGTGTAAGAATAAGTGAATCCAGATAATAGAAAAAAATGGCACAGGTCTAGCAGACTAGGAATGGATGATCTGATATTGTCGTTTTGGTGTTGTTCCTGGAACAACATTTACTATGTTGTTTTACGCCGGTTTTTCCCGAAGTCGCAAAAGTATGATGTCACAACATTCTGATTGGTCACTTGCAATGTTGATCCTGGAACAACATTTACTATGTTGATCTGGGAACAACACCAACATGACGATATCAGATCGTGCGACTAGGAATACCCCACCATGGCAAGAGCACAAAGCAAGGCCAGCAGGACAATGCTCACGTCTTCAGCTCGAACTATGAGAACTGACTTCACCTCAAATTCTCTACAACAACATTCAATCTGTGCAATGAGCTCAAAACAATTCGGATCCACAGAGGCCACTCAAAGCAACCATCAGGACACCACAAAACACCCTCAGGAGGAAACTGAACTAAAAAATACTTCATGTTGAATTCCAGTTATTTTAATTTGTGTAACAAAGTAAAAACTAAATGTTCCTCAATGGAATAAGATTCTGCTAATAAACCTGCTCCAGCTCCAGCTTAGAGAAATTTCAAAAACACAGATCAAACTATGTTTTAAATGCACCGTGTTTCATATCAGAGTGTATTTGCATGTTAATTATGTTTGCATTTGCTTACCCTTCTCGTTCTCTGGCACCAGGGTTTCAATGGGAGGCTCCAGCTCTCCGCTGTCCAGCAGGCAACACTTTGCCTGGGACAGAAAGAGGCGCAGACCCTGCAGAATCTGCACGGAGGTCACGCGTGATGAGGACGATGCCGAAGGCGAAGACGTCAGGGATTTGAGCACCTCTCTCTGCTCTAGGAGGAAGTCCTGAATGATACCCCCGAAGATTGAACGCCTGTCTCTGGACAGCTCTTCCACCAGCCGGGTGAGCCGCTTGTCTGGTGCAAAGAAGCACACAAATGCCTCGCTCATGCGGTGCAGCCCGCCGCGACCTCGAGAGCGCAAGAGTGGCGGGCGATGGTAGGCGTGCATTTGGGTTTGGGACATGCTTTCAGGTTCCGTGTCTGAGTCATGGTCCTCATCCATACTGCTGAAGGAACTGCTGCTGTCGAGCTCAGCCAAAGATGGAGCCGGGCGGCGCTCCATGGCCAGAAGTGCCACCTCGATGCCTGGCTCCTCAGCTGGGCCAGACGGCTGGGGCTTCGGAGGCTCCTCCACCTTGGGAGATGTCTTGAAGAGAGGAGAAGTTATTGCATGATGTGAAAAGCGACATATTTACTATAAATCAAGACAGAAAGGAGGTGTGCTCACATATCCGTATCAGTATAAGCATGCTTTGACGTGCAAATAAAGATCCTGACTCTTATTACTTGTGGCACATAGACAGACATCAGGTCATCCTCCTCAGCAGATCCAGGTGAAACAGCAGGAGTTCTCCTCAGGACGCCTGCACCGGCGTGAACTCTCCTCTGTGGGTTGTCGTTGGTCTTGTTCAGCCTTTCTGACCCACCAGGTTGCTCAACCGAAAGGGGAGGTGAGTAGGAACCAACCCCCTCGAGGGACAGATTCATGGAGGACTCAGAGAGCCGGAGCCGCATGCTGCGCTTGAAGCGGTGCCGTTTGTTGGAGGCACTGTGGTTTGTGAGCTGTTGCTGCTGTAAAAAGGGAGGAAATGGATTCAAGGGTAGATTGATGAACTGTTTATTTTTCTATAAGTGATTATCTATAAGAGTAAAGTGCAGGGTGTAGTTATTTATCAGTTGCAGGGACGTTTCGATTTAGAGCACTTGTAGAGGCCAGAAAAGCACCAACGGGTGTCCTTGAAAGGTCTCAGAGAAAGCTTCTAAGCAACTAACCTTGCAAACCTCCAGCTGCAGAAAGAGCGGGTTAATGAAGCACAGTTTGCCTTGTGTGCCCCTTGACAGCAGGGGACATCGGTCCTGGACCCCAGTCTGGGCCTGACTGGTGGATGCAACTGGCTCCATCGGTCCATTTTGGATGTCTGAAGCACTCGGTGAACTCCAGAAGTCTAATTGAAAAACCAGGAGAGGGGAGATAACTTAAATATTTGAGTAAGTCTTTATTGTACTTTATTTTACAAGTGTTTAAACAGCGTTCCCATTTTTTAATGTTTCACCTGCTTGAAAACTAAAACAACACACAACATTAACCTGTGTTTTTTACTGCAAGCTGATCCAGAAGCAGACTGATTTTGGAGAAGCATGATGAGAAAGAGTCTGGTTATCACTTTTCGCAATGAAGTCACACCCCACTGCACTACAGAAGCATGCCGCGCATTTAAAAATAGACGCAAGCTGGCAGCCACCACTTTAGTCAGCTATTACTTTACTCTCTCATTCTCTCAAACTTTGGTTTTCTGTCAGCGATCTTGTCCTGAACACATCTTTAAAGTCCTTAAATCTCATTTAGGTTCAGTGTTAAAGGGGGAAAAAACCCTCAACAGCCCCACCCCCACCTCTGGTTAGTGAATTATGAGAGAGTAGGACAAATAGGAAATACCTTATGGTAGCAGCTCTGTTGGGCTGAAGTATTTAGGCAATTTAGACAATTAGACAGGCTGACCCAAAAATGCTGATCTACGTTAAGTAACACTTATTATTTGGAGCAAGCGAATGTACCTGCTGCTGCAGTTTATTTTTTAAAGAGGCCACCAGTGACCGACCTTGTCCCATGTGTGAGATGGCCTCCAGCTGCCTGTGTGTTGACGCTCTAACGATGGCATCAGGTAGCTGCAGAGGCAAAGGCAACACATCCCTGCAGATCAAAGAAAAAGAAAAGTTCAAGTTTGAAGATATGTGAGATCAGAAAGTTAAAACTAGATACAGTCAATTTTACTACATGCAAGGAAGTCTGTGGACAGCTAAAAATTACGGGAATAAAACTGGTTTTAAAAACCAGTGGGCATCAAGATGCAGAAGAAGATTTAGGACCCAGCGTGCAAAGACTTTGCTCCCATTTAGGTGCAAAGGCATTCGGGGAGATCTGCCACTTCTGTTAAGAAATACGATTTGGGCATTCGGCCATCCATAGTGAAGTGAGGACTCTGCATAGGCCAGTGAGGTTGAATGTTAGCAAGAAGAATGATTGAGATTTATTATCAGTTATAATATTATTACCTGCTGATACAGTAGAAGGCCACCAGTCGACACAAGTCAGGGAAGCTGAGTGCTGAGCTCTCCAAGGCGAACGCTGGTTATACACAGACAGAGTTTGATTGACAGCTAATGGGAGCAGTGGGACACTCGTTCAGCTTTAACAGGAAATGTGCCAGTTGCAAAAAAAAATCTGGAGGACCCATCCTCTCCGGCCCACATCACTTCACCGAGAGAGTGTCTGAGCTGCACTGCGCCACAAACGCTGACTGGGTTGTCAACTCTCACACTTTTGACATGAGACACCTGTTTTCAGTCTGTCTCACACTCTCATGCTGTCAAAACAAATCTCGCTCCAATTAAGAGGAAGCCACGAAAAGAAGCCTTTATGAAAAGTAATCCATGTTAAACAGGCTTTCTCTCGACAGTCTGAACACCAACATGACAGAAAGCACCAGACTGCAGTTTAGTTCGTTTAGTTAGTGGATGCACACTTCGCCAAACTTCACCAACATCACAGATCGACTTTCGTGGATGTTGAGTTTTGCCTCGTTTACTCGACTCTACATTTTTCATCTATTACACATTGAAAGAGAGCAGAAAATCACTGTGATGAGTTTGTAGCAGGTTTGACCTTCACCAGTAATACATGTAATCCATTTCTGACAAGCCTTTAACAGAAACTAAAGTTTACTTTGTTTTATTGATTTATTTGATTATTGGATTTATTTAATGAACTTTTCTCTGAGTTTATTGAATATCTGCTGCATTCAACAGCAGCATGATCCATTCGAGCATCTCAGAGAGCAGTGCAGCCATCCTCTGTAAAGCCATTTGTTTTGCTCTTTTTAACAGATTGATGTGTAAAGTAAAAAGTTTTCTCGTTTATTGCTTTTTGAAGTTTGAAGTTTTTGAAGTAGCAATGATTTGTATCATTGTACCACCTTTCTGCTCCATTACGGGTCCCTACTTCAATTTTTTTTTTAGCTCCATCTCACCCTAACCCAATATTCTGTCACACCAACTTCAAACATGTCCTTCTTCACTACAGCCATGAACCTCCTCTGAGGTCTTCCTCTTTTCCTCCTGTCCAGCAGCTCTATATTCAACATTGTACACTATCCTTCTTCAGCACACATCCAAACCGTCTCGTGCTTGTCTATCTTAACATTTTCAACTCTGCTTCCTGTGCTTTTGTCAGTGCCACTGTCTCCAAACCATACATCTTGTTGTAAACCTTCCCTCTTACTCTTGCTGCTATCCTTCTGTCACAAATCACCAAGACACTCGTCTCCCTCCACCCCTCCCTTCACTCTCCTATTGCTTTTTCTGTTGCTTTGGGTATATTTAAACTCCTCCATCTTTACGTCCTCTGCTCCTTGCATGTTCACGTTTCCACCTGTCTCCCTCTCATTCACACATGTATTCTCGTTTGTCTTTCATTCCCCTTCTTTCCAGTGCATACCTCCACCTGCCCCAGGCCCTCACAACAGATCATTATGTTTTATAAAAAGGCTAATTTTGAATATTACATGTGATATGATGAAATAATTATCAGTTAATTTCGTTTGTGCACATCTAAAAAGACGTAAAAACAAGCCTGACATGGTCTTTTTTTAGAGGTACAAAGATGACAACTTAGTGGCTGTGTAGGTAATTTCTAAAAAATAAGAGTCCAACCCTGCTGTACTCCACCACAAGCCCTCTCCCCCACATCCCCTCGCCCCTGATCTCACTCAGCCTGACTCTTGGCAGCTGTGGATGTGTTGAGTGTTATGTGTATTGCTTCAACTGCAGTTGGCTGATAATTTAGCTTGTTTTATACTCACTGGAGTCCTCCTCACAGATGAAGCACTCCTTAACAGAGGAGGCACTTCTGTCCGCTGTCACCCTCAAACACAGCACCTTCCTCTGGGTAGAGCTGCATTTGCGCACTAGAAATGTCTGTAAGCACAAAAAAAATCACCGAAAATAAGAACAGAACATTTTTTTTAGTTTTCTCAGGTCTAGGAGCTGATGTCCACTTCACGATTAAGGTTAATTTTCATGGTTTTCAATCAAACACATTTCATTTTAATTAGTGGAGAATTGCAGTTGGCATGAATAGGTTGATTGGTGGTACTTAGATGATGATGTTAATTAGATGAGGACATTTAGACCACCCTCAGTAAATATGAAGCTAAAGCAGGGAGAGCCAGGAATCATATCCACGTAAGATTTTACAAAATCCTGCTTTTTTAGTTACATATGTAACCATCCAGTTCATTGGTATGCACAAAAGATTATTCATTATTGTTTTACCTGATTAAATAGTATGAGTAATATGATTGATAGTTCCTCACCCCGACAGGTTCTCTGAGCAGGATGTAGAGGGCAGCTTCTTGGTTGAGTGACAGCTGCAGCCACACAGGATGTGTGAGCAGCAAACGATCCAGGACGCTGAAGGCCCGCTGAGAGCCTCGCTGGGAACTGCCCACCTCCTGCATCTGCAAGACAGATGCAACCAGAGAAAAAAAACAAATCAGACAAGCTGTTCCTGTCAAATATTTCAAATTTCAAACTTCAAATCATGATTTTTTTTTTTAAGGACAGAAGTTTAAAGAAGCAGATTGTGATACAGCAGCACAGTACCAAGGAGGTTAGCACTGTTTCCACACAGCGGGGATGTCCTGGGATCAAATTCATCATGTGGCCAGATCCTTTCTGTGTGGCGGTAGTAGTTAGGGTGGTTAGGTTAATTAATTAACAAATTGTTCATAAATAATCTGTCTTTCACAGTCCAGTGACAGACTGGAAACCTGTCCAGTGTATACCTCTTCTAGACAGGCTAGACTCCAACCCCTGTGACCCTGATAAAGGTAGGAGGATGGATGTATGTGTTTACTCTCTGCCCCCGTAAAAAGTGATTAGGTTTCATATTTTAATTGCTGTTGTTAGCATTTTGTACCAAGGGAAAAACTTTGAAATGTCTTTACTTTAGTTTTATTAAATAGTCATGAACCATTTTAGCCTCTATTAAGAAAAGTAAACACATGTTAGACTACTACTGATAATAATGATAACAATAATCTATTTGCTTATGAAGTCCCACAACATCAAGAATCAACCAAATTTGGCACACAGGCACATCTTAGGCCACCAAGTTTTTATCCATATCAGATATTATGATATCATCATGTTGCCTAGCAACAGGCAAAATGACCTATTAGTGGCATTTAAGGATCTAGTACGTTTTAGAAAGGTTTGATATCACGTTAATTACACAGCATTAATGTAATATTTATACCCACAACAGTTGAATTACACATAATATATTATGATGTCACTACACTGCCTGGCAACAAACGAATAAATGACCAGTTTTTAGCTTTTATGTACCTAACATGTTTTTAATGAGGTGTGGTATTGTTTTTATTCCACAACAAAAACATCTCACATATGTCCACAAAAACTGAATTGTTCATGATGAATTATAAACAGCATCATGTTACCTAGCAACCACCTACCAATGGGCTAAAACAACCTATTGTTAGCATTTATGCACCTACCACACCTTATAAAAGCATTTTATCATTCCAGTTTCATGAACAGGCCAAACAATACTGTCGTATGGGCATACAATAACAATAATAATAACAAGTTATTCACATGGTGTGGCCCTTCCCCACCAAAAGCTAGCATGACTCAAGAATCATCTGTGTGGTCCAGCTGCTAGCTTAGCATTAAGCTAGGCTCCAACACTGCTGATGGGACACTTTTAATGTAACACCAGACAAACTATAACACTTCACTTGAGTAGAACAGACTAAGTTGTTAATTATAGTTCAGAAGAATATATTATGAATATATAAAATAGTGTTAAATGTCAATAACCGCATGGTGTTAGAGTGGTGTTAGCTTTTATACCCAAGTCCTCCAAAACCTAATCAGTGTCAGTATGTTTACACTGTTGTCAGTTGTACTTCCTGTCTAATGGTTTGCCCTCATTAGTGTGACCTGTGTTTAGTCTGCAACACCTGTTTCCAATTAGTCATCAGCTTCCGTGGAGTATATAAGCCTCTAGCTGTTTGCTCACCACCTGTTAGATTATTAATGATTTCTGTTTAAATATGGCTTGACTTTTGCCTGCCCCTCATTTGGATTGTTTGTCGCACAAACTGATATCCTGTGTATGACCATCGTGTGTTTTCTGGATTGAAGACTTTTATTTCACCCCAATCCCTCCGCCAGCCCCCTCACAAGAGTTGTATTAGATTTGTCAGAAAGCCCACATAAAGTCTCAACAAAGTGTTATTTATGTCGTGCTGTGTGTGTGATTTATGCAGAGTGCATACATTTTTATTTTTTGCATATTTTATAGTGTCTGTAAAGCTGTACTTGCTTGAGATAGATAGAATTATTAAACAAGAGAAAGTCAAGAGATTGAAGTGGTGAGCCAATTTTTTTCTTGATAAATTATTCATGGTCTCAATTAGAACATATTAGCAATCCATTCCTGAGCTTTGGGGAAGAAACACCACCAGTTTCCTGCCATGTTTTTTTTTTTTAAACTCAATGGCCCTAGCGATGACACTGCGGCTCCTTTAGGCCCGCGCCACACTCTGACTTTTACCTGCTGCCTGCCTGTGAGCGGCTTTAACCATCCTCATCCTTTACCAAACTTCACAAATCCTGAACATTTAAAGCAGCTTTACATCCTTCTGTTCCTTCTATAATCTGCCAAAGTCTGCTGTGTTTCACATGCTGCACACCTCTCCTCCTTCTGTCACCACTATAGCAGCATTCCTAAAGAATTTATTGCACTTACACTTTCTAAACAAATTCACCTTTACGTGGACGTGAAGTGAAACTAATTCACTGTTTTTTGGGATTTTTTGTGTTTGCTTATTTTTGGCTCTTTAATGTAAGCTTTCAGTCACAGTGTTACTTTCTCTGTAAGACTGGCTTGCTGCTGGATGTCACACTGTGTGGGCTGCCGGCGAACGCTTGCGAGCGTAGCAGCAGATGGTTGCTATGGCAACCTGGGCCTACACATCCTACCAGGCATTCCCACTCAGTGAAACACCCTTTCTCTAACAAGTTGGAGATGCGTGCACACACACACACACACACACACACACACACACTGTTGGCTGACGGGTGACAGGTTTTTCCGGGGTGCAGAGGTGTTTTATTTCTAGGACGTACTTCTTTCCTTTATTCTTAAGGAAAGTGAAGAAATGATGTTGTTAATGATCATTATATTTCCAGTTCCTCCTTTTCCTTACATCAGACCGCCGAAGCACAGCTCACACACGATCTGTTTCAACGATATTAGTAAAAGCATTATGAATATTGTTTTCCTTTCAGTATCACATTTGAAATTTTCACATTTTTCATCACCTCCTGTCACCTATTACATAACCCTCCCCTCCTCCAGGAGAAACAAGTTCCCAGTCTGCACCCTGCAGGACCATTAACTGTAGATAGCACAGGAAAGGTTAGGAAACAAGTGCAGCACATATCAGTCACATTAGGGTCTGTGTTTTATGATAATAGCCACCTATATAAGATGCTTTCTCTATGTAAGAGGACAGTTTTAAGTGTGTTGTTGTTCTTCTTTAGCCTTTTAAACCCAGAATGCTAGTTTTCCAACACCTGTTAGTATTACTTAGTTGAGTTGTTATTGTAGGGTTACAAATTTAATTTGAATAAAGAAAGCCACTTGTTGCAGAGGTCAGATCCAAGAGTTGAGCTGCTGACCATAAAATCAAAGAAAACATGCTTTATTATCTCAACTATCTTAAAAATACAGACTTCTTTCATTCTGTGTGGGTAATTTTAAAAGACCTTTCCACATATATTGCGTCCATGTGTCTTTAAAAGTGGTGCGCTTTAATCAAAAAGCTTTTTCACCATGTTTCATGTTTGTTAATGTTAAAAAAACGGCTTACCAAATATTTGATGTGGCAGCAGCACCTCAGCTGTCTTGTCTCATAAAGAAGATGGTGGGAATGCAACAGATTAAAGTACTGCATTTAAGTACTAAAAGTCTTGTCTCTTTTTTACTTTTTAAATGATCATTTACTGGTAATTTAAATGTAGATACCAGTAAGAAAATTAAAGCCGAGTGCCTTAAAGCTCGTGAGTCGTGGAAAACATCAGCCAAAATCCCCAATAGACTCAATGAGGCCCAACATCGATGGCTAAGACGGATCTTGCAGGCCTCTTACCAAGACCATGTCACGAATTAAGACATCCACCACTGGACTGCCACACGTCCCCTCTGTGACATTGTGACTGAGCGATGTATGCACTTTGGAGGTCACATTTTACGCCAACTCCCGCGCTAACTGCCCAAGACTGCCCAAGCAAACCAGACCGCCCCCGTACAACATGGCAAAGGACTTTCGTTGATGATTTACACACCTAAGACATAGCATGGGGTGAGGCCGAAGGAGCTGTAGCTGATCAATTACGTTGGCGGAGATCTGCCACCCAATACGGCGAACAGCGCGGGAGGGTAAAAAGCCTTAAACTTGGATTCCTCTTATTTGTTAAAGGAGGCCAAAATACCTGTGACTACAAACAGTTCTGGCTCCATAGAAGTGAAAACCGACCTCAGACCTGACTGCTTTAAGCACTTCCCTGATGACTTAATGCTCTTAATTGCTTATTTGGGGTCTTATAGAATAATATACATGAAATCAATTTTGGAAAATTTGGCCACAAGTTTCAGAAAGGAGGATTATCCAGGATGTCCTCATACATATGGTTTCACAGTAGGATCCGCCCCTCATTTATCACATCCAAAATACCAATATAGGGATGGCAACATCAGCTTGAATCAGACAAAACACAATAAATAGTAATAACATTGTCTTTTGCAACCAGAGGTGTTGCCCCTTGTGGGTGTTGGGAAAATGCAGGTGTAAGTACCTCCACTGTTTACTTTACTCCTCAAACCCCTGGTCTATGTCCTTCTGCAGTCTATGCCCTATAACATAGCCTGATCTTAAGGTTTGAGCTAGCTTCCTTTAACAGTTCCCATCATTAGCCAAAGCTGAAGTTAATAAAATCTGCTATTTCTTGATATTCCCTGTTTCATCGAGCCGTGGTCGGCCATCGGCCATGGCTAAATGTCCACTGTCATAAATTTCAAACCTAATTTCAATCAAGAAAATCCCTTTTTGTTGGCTTGAAATACAAAGACTGCTTTTGTTTACTTCGAGTAGCTATTGTTTCAGAAAATACTGAATTGTGAAGCTGCAAATCTGCCACTGTTATCCTGGCAAGCCTGACGACAGGCAGTTTTAAATGAATAAAACAAAGGATGAATCTTTATCCTTCAAAAAAATAAAAAACTCAGACACACTTTACATGTGCGTCACAAGTCAACAAGCAGCATCACTGTAAAAGTACAAGTCATATATCAAGCTGCTTAATGAATAATTAAAGTTCAAAATACGTGTTTTGTGTGTATATGTGCGTGTTTTTACCACTCTGA